ATTAGCTACATGTCTTTGTTACATCGTATTCACAAAATCTCTACTAATATAAGTAGTTGTACTGGAAGTTTACAATCACCCTCTGTTGCAAATTCACCCTTTATAGAGCTCGATCTAGACGAGCATTTCCATTTTAAGTCGAGAGAATGCCAAAATTTGCATGCTCTCTTTTCCCTAAAACTGAACTTCGATTCAACCAAGAAGAGAAGCGCAATGCCAGAACAGAAGGCAAAAGAAAACCGCATCGAGCAACGACATTGGATGAAGATGTTCAAAGCGAATGCTACAAATCAATGCACAGTTGTGATTTCTACATATATCGCGGTAAGCCGGAAATTTACAATCACCAAAAAGCAAATTTTCAACCGAGTTTTTTATTTACCACTTTTGGACCAATTCAGTGTGCTGAACAAGACTGACTTCATTTTACACGAAACATTAAATATAAATCTTTGCTTCGTCAGGAGTGACGGGAACGAGTTACAATTTCAGCACGTCTCGCAACGATCGCACATTATTCTCGCTAGAGAAAACCGCGCAAAAAGCTAGGCATGTTTAGCGTAAAATCTCTGACCAGAAGCCAGGGACTAGGTTTTTTTACTCATCTCCGATTGGTTTCAGTCAAAATGAGAATCAACTTAGCTGTAAAGCAATGATGCATTGACAAGCCAGAATTAAGGGTTTGTCTGCAGACCCTTTATGTATTTTTGAAAATTAGCTATTGAGTTTAATCACGCACTGCATTTATAGGAATAACATGAAAGAAGTCAACAAAGATGTGAAGCTAAAATTAGCAATTCTCGTAGTATCTAGCCAGATGGTATTAATGAGAATCGAAAAATGCTTTTGAACCGTAAACCCCGTCCACAAAAAAGAGCCTTGTAATTTCTGAACAGCCATAGGAACACGGAAAAAAAAACAAGGAAATACGAGTTTCGCTGCAAAAAAAAACTATACGCTTTGCATTCCAGTGTTAGTCGCATAAAAAATTTCGATAGCGATGGCTAGCAATACTACAAACGCGCACACTGTTTTGAAAATTCACGCCAAACACAACTATGAGTATCAGAACAGATTTCCTATTTGTTCATAATGCCATTTGAAGAAGCAACCAGGACCTTACAAGCGACAAAAATAAGCACATACGTTTAAGTGGTTGAATTAAAAACTGGGTGGGTCACTCAGAAGTATGATTCTGACTCCTGAATTACGCAAAATGAAAAAAAAATGCTGCCCCA